TTCGATCTCCGGCAGGGTCAGTGTAGAAAACTAACTTTTCTATATTGTCTCGAGTCTGGGTGTTTGTAGTACCGTCGTTGTTTCCGATATCCATAAAACAAGTGCTTTAGCTTACTTTCGGATCAGGGCAATGTATGTGATGTTGTCTAATATTTATTTATTACAGCATCCGATTCGTTTTCTTTACGAATCCGAGACTATACAAATCTAGAAAACTCGGACCCACTTCGGATATCATTTGTGCACTAAGTCCGATTCTAATCCGAGAAAATACGAATATCGCTAATAGACCAAAACATAATCCTTGTGACATTTCGGATCGTTATTTCTCGGATTCGGAACTTATACGAATCGGACGCAGTGCGCAAACGCTATTGTGACACATCTAGATTATAAACATGCACTTGGGTAACTCCAGCTGTCTTCATCTTTTACACTAAGTTTGATGGTCTGAAGCCTATAGTGATATTGTCAACGAGCAATTGTGGTAGCTTTGGAAGAACGGTTATTTTATCTGACAGAATAGGTGCAGGGCTAGGTCACCATCTACGTAACCACTTACAGCAAAAGGCACTCAACTATTGCCATCCAGGAGCTACTTTTAGTCAAATTATTACACCTTTAAGTGATCACAACTTTGATAAATACACAACTGTGATTCTTATGCTAGATAATAGTAATAACATTAGCAAAAAAGAAATAAATAGTGGCATTGACTTCTTCTTGAGAATACATGAGAAGTGTGGGTGTAAATTCCTGCTAAGTGCATTCCCATACTGCTCCAATCTAGGCACTACTCATAATGAGTATGTATATAGGTAATTTAAATTTACATTTCTACAATTTGACATGCCCTCATAGGGACGGTATATTTTGTTTGGACCTTAGAGGATGGAAGAAAATAAAGGAACAGTCTAAGGTTTTGACATTTATAAGTTCGTAAGGAATTTCAAATTTTTTGAGGATAGTTTACATTTACCCCTAAGGTGTCTGAGCTTTTTTATTTACTAGCTTTTCATATTAAGGACGCTTTTATAGAAGATAGAACACATTCCCACGACAATGCTCCTACTCTAAGTAGTAACAGTATACTTATTACTAACCAACATTTAAACTAGAAAACACGACAACAGAAAAGTCTAATCGTTTTCATGTAGTTCATCAAAACATTCAAGGCTTTCCGGCAAAACATTGGAAATAAATCTTTTTTTACACGATATTTCCGTTGACGTGTTTTGTGTAACAGAACACTGGTTGAAAGACTACGAAGCAATTAACAACGTGGAAAATTATGTAATAGTTAGCTCGTTCAGAAGAAAGAACTTAAGTAAAGGCGGATCAATGATTATTATCAAGCGAAATGTAAAATTTAAAAAGCGTTAGGATATCACAGATCTCTCTATTGCACGGACTATTGAGATTTCATGTGTGGAATTGGATCAGTTTGTCATCTTATGTGTATACAGGTCCCCTCTACTAATTGCAACTAGTTTGAATTAATCATGGAAGATAGTATAAAACAGATTTTACCAAACCTTTAATTGAACCTGTTTAATTAAACCAGATTAAACCTGTTGGAAAACTATTCTACTTCGGTAAGACTCATTAATTTATTTAAAAGTTTTAACTTGATAATTTTTTTCTTGGAACCAACTCGCATCACTGCTTCATCGTCTACTTGTACTGATAACATTTTTTGCAACACAAATGCGGTATCTAAATCAATAATAAATTACTTAAGACCAGACTACAGTGGTTAATTGGCTACTTTTAATTTTAAAATGTGCAAGAAGGTAGACTAATTTCTCTGCAGACCGATTACCACAGGACGAATCAATAGATTTCAAAAGAATATCGACAATAGTATAAATTCACTCCCACATATACCGGAGGTTCCAAATATTTTATACAGCACGATATTTTATTGCATTAAAAATGAATTTGATACCGTGTTTACATCGAAAACACTAACTTTCCACTGGGAGACCTTTCGAAGGCATTGATTACGTGGATCATATTGCTCTTATTAGGAAGCTGGAATATTACGGAGTAAGTGGCAATGCCTTGGAACTTGTCGCGTCATATCTTAACGGTAGAATTCAGAAAGTAGACATAAATGGATTATTTAGGTTCTCCGGTAAAAATGGGTGTTCCGCAGGACTCAATACTTGGACCTTTCTTATTTATATTAATGATAAACCATACTTTGTCAAGAACCTTTGCGAAATAGTATTGTTTGCTGACGACACATCTTTGATTTTTAAAACAGACAGACATGACGTTAACTATGACAATATTAATGATACCCTTTCAAAGGTAGTCTATTGGTTTAATATTAACACTTTATTGCTCAATGCCCAGAAGACAAAGTGTGTGAAATTTGAATTACCTTATGTAAAACCGACTAGCCCAATCATAGAAATAATGGAGAAAAGTTAGACCTTGTTAAAGCTGTATTTTTGGTGTGTGACTTTAGATAGTAAACTCCAATGGATTCCACAAATACCTTCCTTGCAGCAGAGCTTAATCTGCTGGCCAAGTTTTGTTGCTACTGCTAGACTAGTTTACTTTAGTCACTTCTATAGTATAATATCCTATCTGCCGCTTTACCCCACATGAGAATCCCGTTCGGTAACCAAATTTCTGTTGCAAAAATGAGTGATTTGTTCTATGTACCGCTTAGGTTCTCGGATTTCTCTTAGAAAAAAGTTTAAAGAGACTGGTATAATGATAAGTCATTATACCAGTCTCTTTAAACTTTTTTCTTAAGAAAGAAGATATTATCCATAATATTAACCTTAGAACTATGTTCGAACTATGTCCAAACTAATGTTACCACGTTTTCGTTTAACTAAGGTAAACGATTTTTTTATGCGGAATTGTATACGTTTTTAAAATAAGATTCCGGAGCATATATCAAGATTACTATTTGTTAAGTTTAAAACTTGCATTAAAAGTATTTTATTTGAAAAGTCATATTACAAAATTGTAGACTACGTGTTAGATAAAGATTTATGGAAAGACAACGAGAGAATATGATTCAAAATGTATTCTATAGTATTTAAGTTTATTTGAAAAGAGCAATCCCTAGATTTTCTTGCTCGATGTTCTCAGGGAGGTCAGCGTAGTGTAAGAGCAGTAGCTCAAAAAATGACGTTTTGAAGTGTAAAAATGTTACCTATGGAACAAATGGTTATTTAACTTTGACTTTGGTGATAGTGTGGACTAAAGATGGAGTGGTACATATATTACGCAAAACCCACCCACATCGCTGCCGCACTTTTCTAAATAAGTTCACATATATAAATAGTTTCGAGTCACTACAGTTTCTTCTTCAACGAAAACGAAATGAAACTGAAAGAAAAAACTCTCTTAACATCGACTACTTTCCTTTAACACGTGTTTGTTAAAAATGATAATCGAGCCTATAAATTACTTTTTCTACTATCTTCTGTTAACTTGCATATTTTACCTTTGTCTGCTACTCATCATTTTCCCAACTGTACTCCATCTCTTCTTGACCTTATAATTGTCTCGTCTCCTGAGCATTGTGCTTCCCAGAGTTATCTTGTGTATTTTCTTATCATGACCTTATTTTTCTCTCGTATAAAATTCGTTCCCCCAAGTGCAGATTCGGAGGCGCTTACGCGTAATGATGCGGGTAATATTGACTGAACTCCAGTGTTGGACTGCGTAGTCGTTGACCGGAAGGTAACTCTTTTCAATGAGAATATTACAAAACTTTATGATCGTTATGCGCCTTTAAAACGGATAAAAGTTAGATATGCTCCTGCCCCCTGGTTAACACAAACTATTAAGGACGTCATGGCTCTCCTCTTCTCTACTTTCATTAAGTCTGTCACTTTTGTGTTGTCCTCAAACTTCCATCTCTATACTGACGATTTGCAGCTCTACTGTAGTTTTAAAACTTCCGATGTCATTGCAGCCGTTGAAGCGGTTAACGCTGATTTAAGAAACATCGCTCATTGCGCTGAGTCTTTTGGCTTGTTGGTTAAACCCAAAAAGTCGCCGGCCATGATTATGGAAAGTGAGCATATACGTGGCATTTTTGACATTGATTCTGTCCCAATTATACAGTATAATTCAAAGCCTATTTATTACCTATACTTCTACTATTACTAATCTGGGTCTGCTTGTGGTTTGTAATTTAGCTTAGATTTCACATGTTAATGAAGTATGTCGAAAAGTCCATTACTCCTTGCACTCGCTTAAGCGCCTCCAAAACTTTATGCCTTTAAAAACCAAGATCTGTTTAGTTCAATCTCTAATTTTACCCTTAGACTATGCAGATTCCTGCTATTTAGATGCTACTGAAGAACTGCTAAATAAGCTTGAACGGTTGCAAAATCTATATATAAGGTTCATATTTGGCCTTCGTAAATATGTAAAAATTCACACTATCGCAGTCAGCTCAAGTGGCTTCCCATTCGTCTCTCTTCTTTACAACATTCTACATAATCCTTCGTCTCCCAGGTATCTGAAAGAGCTTGTCTGCTTTCTCAGGTCCCAGGATAAGCCTTGTCGCTCTCTCGTTAGGACCCAATTATCTTTTCCATCATTTTTTTTCCGGTTTTTATTCTCACTCCTTTACTGTTCATGCGGTCAGACTTTGGAAAGCATTTTCCATTACTGTACGTGACAGTAAATCCTTAGCTATCTTTAAAATGAGAGTCAAGGAGCACCATTTATTCTATGTTCCATCCATTTGTCTATAATACTAAGATATGAAATGTGTATTAATATGGTCTGTAGTAATTCAATAATTTTGCTGTTTTTATTATTATTATTATTATTTTACTACATAATTTAATTTTGTTTTGTTGCGCACGTAAACCCGTTATTGTAATTATTGTGTCCTGTATTTTGATCTGCAGTCAGAAATTTCTTATAGAAATACGCAGTACCTTTTGTTTGTATTTTCCGTTTTACTAAATGTGGTTTGCGTTTTCCTGTACAATATATAATTAGATAAAAAAATAAATAAGAATCTATATAGATCAAACTTATTTTGTGAACGTGTCTTACATTGCCTTTGAGTACTATGATGGTTCTTCTCTGCGCCACGAGTACCGAGATTTTCGATTCAAAGTAAAAAATAATATTTTTCTTTCTTTACTCTCGATGTGAGATAGAAAGATCTGTCAGAACACGATAAGGCACATTAAATCCACTGATCTGCCCTTATAATATCTGACGCATTTACATTTTGGTAACTTTCCATATAGCACCTAGTTTGTTTTTCTTTGAAAAATGTCAATTACGCTGGATTTGCTTAACAATAAAACTGGAACTAAATAACGTATTAAAAAACCGCTTATAAGGGGTTGTAGATCTCCTTTCGCTAATTCCAAATATACTCCCGGATACCCGGAGTATACCCGACGTATTATTTAATGGGTTTACTCCCGTTCTCCGTCCAACATCCGCCCAAAACAATTACTGTCAAATAAGTAATACTCGACTAAAGCAAAAGAATGGGTCCTCTAGACCACCAGCAGCCGCCTACTGACGCCGCGCTGGCGTTACGCCGCCGCCGCGCGGATGTCGTGTCGACGCTACGCGTACGTTGGCCAGACGATGACGTCTGAAAGACGCTACAGTGGGGGGCGCTTATTGTCAAAAAAAATTGGAAGTGACTCTATAATGTACATACATTATACATAGCTTAATACATATTAAGCTGTTTTATAATATTCTACTTACAGGTCCCTTCCTTTTCAGGTACAATTACTCGTCGGCATTTCCATTTTAGAAGCAGTTCAGCCTTTGCGAATGCCGCAGCCCTCCTACAAGCGGCAAATCCATAATAACGAAAACCGAAATATTCTACGTCGTATCCTTGAGAATTTAGCAAGTACCAAGTTATATCTAACAAACAATGCTAGAAGATACATTTCGCCGTATGAAATGAGCCAGTCGAGAAATATATATGAAGCAATAGCCAAAAATAAAGAGAATGAGGCAAAGCAAAGAGCAGTAGAAATCTCTACTGACCCAACTAAAAACCCGAAACCAAATGATGATGAATTCTCAAAACTGGTGGAAAAAGAACTAAAAGTGACTATCGTCAAAGAATCGTCAGCTTTATTGGATAAAGCCACCATAGAAAAAATGGGTCGCAACGATTTTTTGGTTCTCGAAACCGGCAACGAAGATCCATTCGTTACAGTAATTCCTAACAATATATATTACAACATCGAGAAGATATGTGCTAACTGGTTAGATGACTGCAATTTGAAAGGTATAAGAGACAGATTGCTACATAGAGAGAATTCCCCGTTCTAATAAAATACATTTAAAATTTTAATTGTTGCTAGACATTTTATTTACTGTAAATTATACATTCTAATCTGGCTACTTTAGGATTACGTACTTATTAAGGACTTCTAAACAAGTACGTAATCCTATACAACCTCAAATTAAAGCTTTGGATGATTCTGCATAACAGTGAAAGTGTTGAATCAATTATAAAATATATATAGTAAAATTGAGGACATACACTGATTACTATCAAAAAAAATTGAATATGAAAAATTTCAGTATAGAAAAAACACAAACTTACCTGAAAACTTTACAAGAAAACAGCTGTATTTAATAGGTACTTTACATATACCAATGTTTCTTTTTTATACCAACTCAACTAAATAGAACACGTATACTATACGATATACATTTTTCAAATGGTTTTAATTTCGTTTGTAAAAAATACATTCTGAAATGTAATGCCAGCGTCACTGCCGCTCGACCCAAGCAAAATGAATCGTATTAGTACTGGAAAACTATGAATTCGAGCTGAGGTAGTTACCGACTCTTAAGTTAATAATACAACTGTATTCCTTACTTAAACTCATTTTTACTTTCCTTATTACTGTAAGATATAAACAAAAGTTATTTTTGATAACTTTTGTCACTATAATTCGGAATAGGGTGGTTTGCATTAATATTACAAGTAACTGGTTGATGGCTATACCATCTCAGTCAGCTGTGAACAAGGGACCTGTTAATATGTTGGTTTGTTTAAAAAACAAATATATGCAAATCAGATCCGCAAAAATGGTTTCATTTCGAAACAACGACTAAAAAGAAGTCAATTTCATTCTGCAAGGCAATTAGAACTATAATAATATTGTATAGATTTTGAAATACCATGAGTTCATTTAGGCTTGATTCATATCGTCGAGACGCTACGCGACGCGGGGCTAGCGTACAAAAAAACGATTTTGCGCGCAGATTTCTAATGAGAAAGAAAGTCCTTCCGACCTAGGGAGGTGAAAAATGGTTTTGTATGTGCGGCAGCCGCTTGGTGCGTCACTTGCTTGCCGCTGTCTGCGCCGCCCTGTGTCGTAACATCTCCTTCGTTCGCCCCTTGTTAGCCGTATATTTGTTTCCTCCGCGCCGAGCTTTTGCGCCACTACTATAAACCGCTCTGCGAAAATCGCCCGCGATGTCGCTAGAGCGGCGGCGTTGTCTCATTGCGTGCTTCATACATTTTAATACATTTGTTCTTGCCGCTAGTCGCGCCACTTTAAACTGCCGTTGACAGTGGCACTGCCGTGACTAACTACTTATACTAATTTATCATCTTACTAAATTTACGGTACACAAATTACGCAAATGTCACGGTTAAAAAGATGAAAGTTTTTTTTTTTTTGTATGATTACTTTATTTGCAATCTGCCGCCAGGCCATAAGCGAATCTTTTGAACGAGAAAAGACGTTTGTGGTGGAGCGGCCAGTGCCGCTTCTCCCAACTATAGAACATGGCCTCGCTTAAGCCGTTTGACCATAGTTGATGGATCTAGAAGTTCCGCGATGAGTGGGATTGCAGGTGGCAGGATAGTCGCTCTTTGTGCTTAGTTTTATGTCGGTCGATCTCAGCAGCTACCGATATGACGTTTAGATGACCATGGATCTCTTCATTACGAGTGAACCAAGGGGCATTGACTATTGTCCTCAGGATACAATTCTGCACTCGTTGGAGACAAAGTATATTACTCTTGCTAGCCACACCCCACAGCTGAATACCGTATGTCCAAATGGGTTTTAAGACCGAGTTGTAGATTAGAAGTTTGTTGTCTACTGATAATGCTGAATTTCTTCCCATGAGCCAATGAAGGTTACGATATTTGAGATTGACTTCATCTCTTTTTCGTTTTATGTGATGCTTCCATGTGAGATGTCTGTCCAAGTGAAAACCGAGGTACTTCACACAATCAGATTGTGGTAATATTTCATTACCAAGTCTTACTGGATTACAGTTTCCTTTTTTCAGTGCAAATGTGATATGATGCGATTTGGTGGCACTGGCCCGGATGCGCCATTTACAGAACCATCTGTGGGTAAGATCGAGTTGGAGTTGGAGATTTGTGCTAGCTGTAACAGGATTCCCGTCAACGGATAAAAGGGCTATATCATCGGCGTATATAGCAACTGTGATGTTATCCGATATTGGTAAGTCCGATGTAAAGATGTTATACAGAACCGGGCCGAGGACTGAGCCCTGTGGTACGCCTGCCAGGATATTGTACATGTTTGATCTCGCTTCTCTGTGTTTAACTTGGAACGAACGACCCGACAGGTAAGACTCTATGAGAAGAAACATCGAGTGTGGAAGACTGTCTTTAACCTTGGCCAACAATCCCTTGTGCCACACCCGATCAAAGGCTTGCTGCACATCGAGGAAGGCCGCTGAACAATATTTTTTGTGTTCAAAGCTCTGTCGGATCGTGTGGTATACCCGATGAACCTGCTCAATAGTTGAGTGAGACTTACGGAATCCAAACTGGTGACAAGGCACAACACAGCAGTCATCCATAAGCGGTTTGAGTCTGGCGAGTAATATCCTTTCCCAGAGCTTTCACAGCACAGGCGTTAGACTAATGGGCCGGTAAGAGGAAGCCTCTTGTTCAGGTTTTCCTGGTTTGTGGATCATTACTACCTGGGAAATCTTCCATATGGATGGAAAGTGACCCGTCCTGAGAATGGCATTGAACAAACAGGTTAAAAATGTAATGCACTTCCTTGGGAGATTTTTTAATATTTTCGGAGTGATAAGATCAAATCCCGGGGCGTTTTTTGGATGTAATGATCTTATTCCTTGCGCAATTTCTCTTGGAGAGGTAGGTTTAAGAGGCAAACACATTTGAAGGTCCTGCGCTAGAGCTGTCTCCAAGTCAGACTCTTCATCGGTCACTTTGTCATTCGGCTGAAACACTAGCTAGGTTTCTTCATTCAGCATTCAGCTAGGTGCTTAGCAAATACTTCCGCCTTTTCTGTTCTCGCCCATGTTCCCGTTTCTGTTCTGATAGGAGGGTACTGTTGTTGGGGTCTATATAAGCCTTTAGTTGCCTTCCAAAGTGAGTGCTCACCATGTCCAGTAGAGGCCATCATATGCAAGTTAGTGTTAACTACAGAGTTGATTGATGCATTGATGATACTCTTGAGCTCTTTGCTTGCCTTATTATATCTATATTTGTCCAGCGGATGACGCGACTGATGCCAGACTCGCCTTAGACGGCGCTTTTCCAGGATTGTTGCACGAATATTCGATGGTTGGGTGGGAATGCGTGGAGTTGAATCCTGTTCCGGTGTGTTAGCCCAACCTGCTACTTGGATAAGGTTCGTGACATGTATACATGCTCCATCTATCTCATCGGAGTCCTTAAGGGGGATAGGTAGTTTTATATTTTGATTTATGTAGCTTCTAAAACCCCTCCCAATCAGTCCTATGGTTTACAAGTGATTCTGCCTTTTCATGAGTAATCACACTCGTATTCACTGTCAGAATTACTGGTGTATGATCTGAGGATCCATCCAAGCTCGATTCGATTTTCATATTCATATGAGCCACACCCTGACTCAAGAAGAAGTCCAGAAGGTCGGGCAGCTTTCTAGGGTCACTTGGCCAATATGTTGGTTCTCCAGTCGATAAAGACTTCAGATGGATGGTGTCGGCACAGCGCTTTAGTTCGCGTCCACGAGTGCTAGTACAGCGAGAGCCCCAAAAAGTGTGTTTGGCATTCCAATCACCGCCCGCGATGTATCTTAGACCAAGGGTCTGAAAATAGGCGGAGAACATTTCTGCTGTGATTTTGTGCCTTGGCGGACAGTATACAGAGGAAAGCGCAATGAAACCCATACGACCTTCAATTGTAACCGTGGTCGCTTGAATATGCGTGGTAGAAAACGGCTCCATGGCTGAGTGTTTAATGCTTTCTCGAATTACCAAAGCAGTTCCGGCGTGTGCTCCACCATCAGGATGGGGGGTGTGGTAGATGTTGTAGCCTTTGATACGAGGACTACTCCTTATGGTGACATGGGCCTCTGATATTAGCACTACGTCTAGTTGGTTTGTTTTCATGAATGACTCTAACTCGTTAACATTAGGAGCTAACCCGTTGATGTTCCAGGTTGCGACTCTTAGGGATGCCATCTATGGAGCCAGTTTGGTTATGACTGTAGTCAACAGTCCCACGAGGGTACTGATTTGTTGTAATAATAAATCTATCTTTTCATTTTGTTTTATTAGTAGCTGTTGTAAAGTAGTGTTGTCGCTCATGTCAATAACTTCATCAGTTGGAAGAGGATTTCTGTAACGACCAGCTGTTACATCTGAGTATGTCACTTGTGTTTTATACTGATAACCTCGTGGTGTTGGTTTGTGAACTTCTGGGACACTCGTTATGGACTGCGTATTAGATTTACCATCGGAAACTCTGGTAGAAATCTTTTTGGAGTTTGTTTTCCTTTCAAGTATTTCTTTGTGTACTTGACAGCCTTTGTAGTTTGCGGGATGATCGCAGGAGCAGAGAGCACATTTGGCAGGAGAGTTTCTATCTTTTTTGAGACATTCAGCAGTTTTGTGTCCCTCACCACATTTTACACATCTATAAGGCCTCATGCAGTTATTTTTGGAATGACCATACTGCTGGCAACGTTGACATTGAACAATTGTTTTAGTTTTATGAGGGTCTTCGATATAAACACGCTGATGATAGATGTATTGAATATCTTTAACTAACTTGTTGTTACTGGAAGGTTCCAGATTTACGAAAAATGTTGAAGTTGGTTTCTTATCTGGACCATAGCGACAATTAATAATTTCACCTTTAACCTTATTACCGTGATTCTCAATTGCTTGGATAATAGCATCATGAGGCGTTGTGTGGTCAAGGTTCTTTATGACTATACGATAACATTTGTTGTCCTTTGGAGTAAATGTATGACCAATTAAGCGTTTCTGGCGAATGAGATGAACCACTTTTTTGTAGTTTTCTGACGTGTTCATCATTATGCGCAGCAAATTTTTGTTGACAATTTTAAACTTAAAATCAGTTGGATTCACTGCTGTTTTTATAAGTTTAGTCAGTTCGTTTAGATCTTCTATGCCATACAAAACAATCGGAGGAGGTTTGTTTGGCGGTTCTTCTGGGTCTCAGTCTCTGCTGAATCCACGGGTAGGCTGGTAAACCTGTTAACCAACTTTGTGTGAGAGTGCGGTGGTGACTGTTCACGTATCTTGCGTTTTTTTGACATCGGTATTCGCTACCATGGAGGTGGTTCCATTCTAGATGTACTTGGGGCGGCTGTTGTATCGTCTTTGGACATTGTCGCCGTATTGTTCGCAGTACTTGAGTTTGTTCCGTTTGATGGAACTTCACAGAAAGAAATGGATCTCTGTCTGGTAAAGAGTCCTGGATGAAAGACTTGTTGTGTTAGGGCTTTTTTGGGGTTTTTATTTAAAACACTCATTTCTGTTTCCATCAACTTTTCGCCAGTAGCATTTTTGTTACCGGAAGCCTGGACAGCCACTTCCGGTAAGTGACTTTTTTCGGGAGTTCTGAGTATTTTGTGGCGGCCACACTAATTGTCTATGGTTAGAATCATTACTATTCAAATGAGGGTAGCAAAATATTTCAACAGTGTGTTAAATGTCACAGCCGATAAATTTTTCACTATTTTCATACGAAATCCATTGATTTTAGCGAAGATAACACTATTACACAGTTTTTGAAGGTTTGTCTACAATTTACACTTGTTTTAAGATCTCACTATCACTGATTTAGCACAAAATTGAATTTTACTTCAAGAGCACTTTTGCTTCTTATGGCAGTTGACAGACCCCTCTCTAAAAAAAGATGAAAGTATGAGTATTTTCAAAATCGAGTAATTTATACTGGCATACGTTTATTTCTGCGAATTGAGTTTATAGAGGCACAATGAAAACAACCAAAATTCTTTGATTCACTTTTATTTTTTACTGTTAGTTGCATTTGTTTTCTTAACAGCAGAACATAATATGGATAATAGAAATCAGCTTATTTAATATAGGTGTTAAGTAAAGTGATAGTCACTTCAACGTCCTCATATCTTATTACTTAGCCAAGCTAATTTATAACAGACACATACATTTGCTTAATTCCTAATAAGTATTCAATATATGTATATATATTTATGCATAATAATATATACCACTGGAGAATTATAATAAAATTAAATTAAGTTAAATGCCACCGCAGTTGCTTTGCAGAAAATAATGTACACAATGTGAGTTACAATTAATATTAAGCAACGAGTTTTTACCGTACGTTAAGTACCTTATAAAATAAAGGAAAAATAATGGCAGTGGTAAAATAAAATTAAAGGCAGGTTGTGACAGTTTTGGCACATATGTGGTATTTGTTAGAACTTAAGTAAATAACAAATAAAGTCAAGCGGTACACTTCAAAAGGAAACAAGCCTGCACTTGTGTAGAAATAAAATCTAAGAATTCATAAAAAAATTAGTAAACTTCCCTAACTACAATAATTACGATTTATTTAAATCTTATGGCACCAACAACTTGCTCACCTGAGCCAATATAGTATACACGAAACATTGAACTT